GGTCAGGCCGAGCAATCTGGATCCACACCCGTGTCCTCAGTCTCCTCCCTACAGAAGGCGCTGGTCACGGCCACCAATCCACCTCACAGGACTGCGTGAGCCTCAGTAAGAGCACCATGTGAAATGGTCCGGAAAACACAGCAACGCCAAGCAGCAAACAAGTGCTCTCTGATCTTGGGGGGCTGTGGGGGACCCCAAACCTGAGGCTAAGAGAACCGGCTGTTCCCCGGCTCAGTCCTGCCGAGGGAGGCTGTCTCCTCTGCACCCAGAGCACAGGCGCCTGCTCCCTGACACCTGCCAGCCGCAGGGGTGGGTGCTGCCTGCGCTAGTGCCATCGGCCAGGTCCTCGGGACCTGCGTGTGCTAATGAGGAGGGACGAGTCTCTTCTAGAACAAATCGCTCACTCTCCCAGCAAGCATAGCGCGCACCCCTTAGAAAGAGAGAGGAAAGGCTGCTTTTGTTTAATTGCATGCAAAGCTGCTAAACACAGAGGTTTCCATCGGGTAGCAGGGAGTCACTGGGACCGCATGCCCCATGCCCAGGGAGAGAGAGACTGGCCCGCCCTGGCCCTGCCTCCCCGCCCAGGGCTGGCAGCGCGTCACCTCCAGGGCCTCCATGGCCAGCTCAGGCGGGTTGTGGTAGTGGATCTTCTTGGGGTACCGGGCGGCCTCCTCGTGCAGGTAGTGGGCGGCCTGCCGGTAGTGCAGCAGGTAGACGGTGGGCGGCTGCTGCTGCTTCTCGGCCACCTTGCCCAGCATGTAGTGGATGAGCCACTCCTCCTCGTCCCCGTCCCCCTCGCAGCGCGCCGCCGACAGGAAGCAGTGCCTGGCGGTCTCCAGCATGCTGTCCCGCCGGCCCTCCATCTGCAACGAGACCGCACGACCAGCTCGGGCCTGTCCTGCAGGAGCCCCGCTGCCTCACCAGGCCTGAGACAGACACAGGAGTGCGAGCACCACTTCCCAGCGGGGACACTGCGGAGGCCTGCGACTCCTCAGAACCCCACCTCAGGTCAGGCTACAGCGCTGGACGGACACCCAGGCCACCTCATGCCAACGCCATGTCCTTCCTCCCGCCTCCCCTGCAGCATCATATCGAACAGTTTGTGCATTTCTGAAGTCCTATGACACCTTCTAAAGGTCCCAACTACCATCTCTGTGGCTGCAGCGAGGCCGTGCCGGGGAGGGGGCGACAGCAGGGGCTGGGGCTGCGTGGCTGCCGCCATCACTGCAGGAGGCCCGAGGAGGCCAGGACACCTGAGCTGATGTTCTGAGAAGAGCCCCATGGCAGGCAGTGAGGCCCTGTTTCCCCCCTCACGAGGGTGGGCCGCAGAGCTGGGGAAGACGCGCACCAGCTCCCAGCTCCACGGCACTGAGAATGTCTAGCCCTGGGGTCCAACAGGGCTGCCCACCCTCGCTCCACCCGCTTCCCGGGACTTGGGGTGCTTCTAAGAAGGCCCCACCCCTGCTCCACTGACGGGGAGCTCTGTGCGTCGGAGCAGCGCCTCCGGGCCCCTCCTCACCTGCTGCACGAGCTCCGAGGGCAGGTCGCCCCTCCACTGCTTCAGCTGGCGCGAGGCGAAGGCGTGCAGGGCGTAGGACATGGTGCCATACTCGATCCACAGGGACAGGTTGGAGCTGTCGATCTCCAGGGCCCGCCGGAAGCAGCTGAGGACAGGCGTGGCGTGCTTCCAGATGGGCCAGTCGCTCTTCAGCTCATTGGAATTCAGCTTGTCCTGAATGCGACTGGCCCGGGCCAGGGCCATGCCTGCCCAGGAGTCAAACCTGTGGTCATGACAAAAGCACCCGTAAACACTCCGTTGTCTTTTGTTGTTGTTTGTTTTTTTAAATATATTTTTATTGATTTTAGAGAAAGGGAGAGGGAGAGAAAGAGAGAAACATCAATGATGAAAGAGAATCATGCATCGGCTGTCTCCTGCACGCGCCACCCTGGGGATGGAGCCCGAAACCCGGGCCTGTGCCCTGACCGGAGATTGAACCATGACCTCCTGATTCGTAGGTCAATGGTCAATGCTCAACCACTGAGCCACACCGGCCGGGCGAGCCTGGAATGTTCTGAATGTTGCACAGAGAGGCACTAACTTTAAAACTGGCGAACTGGCTTCCTGGACTATCTGACAGCCCAGGATGTGGCGCAGGGCGTTGCTGGCAGTGACGACAGACATAGTGGTGACTGTAGACGAGCCCACTGTGCGTCCAGGTCGTGCGTCCCTCCCACTGTGCTGGTGGCTTTTTATAAACTGCACTGACTGGCCTGCTGGTCCTGAGGTCCCTGCTAAGCTCACGAAGTCTGATTTGCTTGACTGAGCGGGCATATTTTCTCATGGCGGCCAAACCTGGGAGGTAAACCTTGGGTCAAGGTCAAAACGAGGCTCCCTCTATAGCTGCCCTGCGTCTGCAGGGTCCAGAGCAGCATGGCCTCCTGGAAGTGACCAGGGCCAGCCCCTGGCGGCCGCCCCGAACCGGGTGAGCCTCCTTTTCCTTGTCAGGATCCACCCGGCCGCGGGGAGAAGGGCTGGGATGTGAGCGCAGAAGCCAGCTTTTCCGGGCCTGTATCCCTGGGGGAAAGGCTCGGGCCCCTTTGGCTCAGCCTGTGGTTTCCTCCAGCAGGAGCCGGGTGTCGGCGGCCTTGGCCGTCTTCCCCCGGTCGCTGAGGGCCGGTGTGGTAGAGCAGACCCACACGCAGGCTGGCTGAGCGCTCACCGTGCACAACAGCGAGGAGTCGCCTCCTCTGCCTGCCGCCTCCATGACTGAAAAGTGAGGGGTCACACCCGCCTTCCCATGGCGAGGTGAGAGCCTGGTGTGGCCTCGCACAGGACAGTCCCTCAGCAGCGTGAAAGTCACGACTGGGCCTCCCTCCAGCCTGTACTCCAGCTGCTCAGAGGGTGTCAGCTCATCAGGCCCAGCCCACCGAGAGCCGCGTCGGAGAAGCGGGGTGTCCTGGGGGGCCCTGCCCAGGCCCAGGAGAGGCGTGGCGGCTTGTCCCTGGGCGTCCGTCAGTCCAGTCCTTCCTGGCACCCGCCAGGAAAGACGTGACCATCGCCGCTGCCAACAATGCACTGCGGCAGAGCGAGGAACGAGAACTCCTGCTTCAGTGTCGCTATTCCTCCCCTCCCCCCTCAGTGAGAAAACCCTGCATCAGACACTGCAGGGGAAGAAGCAGAGTGCACACCAGCCAGCCTCCCAGGCGGAGCTAGGAAAGTGGCAGCACGCAGCGCCCCGGCCGGGGCCGGGCTGCACAGCCCTCCCTGCAGGCAGAGCGGGGGGCACCTCCGCCTCCTCTGACCCCAGTGCCCACCCCAGCGGGCTTCCCCAGGGGCTTTCTCCCTTGTTTTTCTTTCTATGGAGAGCCTTTCCCAGTAACTTCGTCACTCCTCCCCTGGCCTCCCCCCTGGGCAGGGAGAGCTTGCTGAGCTGCAGGCACCCCGGCCGCCCCACCAGCCTGGCCTCACACCCAGGTCACTGGCCACAGCCGCCAGCCACTCACCTGTCAGGGCAGATGCAGATGTCGTGCATGTAGAATTTGATAGCCTTGGACTGCTCTTTGTTCTTAAAATGGTAGTCAGCCAGCAGGTAGTAGAGCTCATTCACCACCGCAGGGGAGGGGTCAGCCCCTTCTGGGAGGCAAGGGACCTGGCAGATGAGAGGGCAAGGGTCAGGGAGGCGGAGCCAGGGACGCAACTGTGGCCAGTGATGCTTCAAACCCAGGACCGTTCACGTCAGCGCAGCTGAAGGAGAAGGTGACGGGACATGGCTCCTACCTCGGCCGAGGTCCCCTCAATGTACGCAGAGACTCTGTCCAGGCTCAGGGCCGGCCTCTCTGTGCGGGGCACTATGGTGGCGATTCTCTTCAGGAGGTTAGCCAAGTCAGCAGAAACGGTGCTGGTCTTGTAGCTGTCAAATTCAGGAAGGGTCTTGGGCTTAAAATACTCAAACATAAAGAGGGCATCTTCCCATATGAGGTCCACCTTGAAAGAAGACAGAAGGCCGATCGCAGTGCGGTCAGGGAAAGCACACAGGCAAGTTCTAAATGCCCACTGTCCTTCCCAACCCGTGTCTGACGAGCAGAGCAGTGACCCGCCTAAGCCTGTTCTTTATAAAGAAAATGTTGGAAACTCGGGCTGCCCTTTGTGAGTCCATGTGGCCAAGCCAGAGGGTGGGGACCGTGGGCCCTGACCCTCTGCTCACCTCAATCGCCCCATCAATCACTTGGTTGACAAATACTGACCAAGTGCTTGCTCTGGGCCAGGGAGGGGGACACACATAAGCTCAGAGAATAACGGGCAGTACCGCTGAGCATGACACTCCCCAAGTGCTCTGAAAACCAAGACACAAAACACGAACCACCTCTAAGAAATCATTCACATTATCCAAATTGCTAAAAGAAAATCTCCTGCCGACCAGCGTGGCTCAGAGGCTGAGCGGGGACCTATGAACCAGGAGGTCACAGTTCCATTCCCGGTCAGGGCACAGGCCCGGGCTGCGGGCTTGACCCCCAGCCGATCCATGGTTCTCTCTCATCACTGATGTTTCTCTCTCTCTCCCTCCTCCTCTCCCTTCCTCTCTGAAATCAATTAAAATACGTTTTTTTAAAAAGGAAGAAAATCTATTAAAATCGCCATGTTGCATTCTCGATGATGAGTCAGCACTATGAAGCGCCCTCCTGCAAGGCCGGAGCCATCGGAGCACCTCATCCTCCTGATGCAACCCACCTGGGCCTCCGAGGCTGCATGTCGGGGCGCTGAGCCCCCGCGTCCCCGAGTCCCTCTCCCAGGGGTGGGGCAGGGGCCTGCGGAGGCGCCTCACCTGCGGGGCCGAGTGCTCCTCCAGGTACCGGGCCTTGCTCTTCTTGCTGGGGAAGCTGTACAGGCAGTAGAAGCACTGCTCCAAGGCCGTCTCCAGCTCCTCCTTGTAGGGGTGTGTGTCCTCAGAGGTGGATTCAGCAAGTTCCTTCTGGAGAACTCGGACCTACAGTCGGGGGGGGGGGGGGGAACGCCTGAGGAGGGGCCCACACCTCCGGGCACAGCAGGGCCCTGGTGACACCGCTCTGTCAACTGTTACCCGGAGGAGGAGGCCTGTCTACTCGGGCCCTTTTCTGGAAAGGGCCTGTCACCCTCCCGGGAGCCGCCCTGGGCCCAGCCTCGCAGCGGCCTTCCTCTCAGCACACCCAGTCAGCTTCTATCAGCTGCTAGAGGAGACATGATACGCCCTCTGAGAAATTCTGATTTATTTAGCCGTTCATTTATTCCTCAAATATTTACTGAGCACCTTCCTATGCTGGGCACAGTACAACATAGTCCCTGCTTTTAAGAAGCTCAGATTCTGCCCGACCAGCATGACTCAGTGGTTGAGTGTTGGCTGACCTATGAACCAGGAGGTCACGGTTCGATTCCCAGTCAGGACATATGCCCGGTTGTGGGTTTGATCCCCAGGGAGGGGCATGCAGGAGGCAGCCGGTCAATGACTCTCTCTCATCATTGATGTTGTATCTCCCTCTCCCTTCCTCTCTGAATTCAATAAAAATATATTAAAAAGAGAAGCTCAGATTCCAATGGAGGGCAGTTAGTTAAACAAATTAATGGCTATTGTTATGCCCAACTACTAGCAAGCATACATTATTTTCAAACATCCATGAGATTTTGACCAAAACTAGACAAAAAGCAAATCTCAATAAATACCGCAGACTAGATATGATATAGACATCCTCTGAACATAACCAATAAAATTAGAAATCAATTACATAAAGATAGCAAATACCAAATGTCAAAACTATGGTATGCAGCTAAAAATGTACTTGAGAAAAAATTATAACCTTCAATGCATGTATTACAAGAATGAACACTAAAATAATCACTCAACTCAATAAGTTATAAAAAACTTAGTAAATCCGAAAAAGAGAAGATAAATAAAGAGCAAAAATCAAATAAAACATTTTTTAGATCCTGGCAGCTAAAACTCATGCTCCACCAAAAACAGACACAGACTAAGAAAAACCGGGAGCCCCTCCCCTCATCACCCCTCCTGCCTGCGCCTTCCTCAGCGCCACTCCCGCTGGCCTCGTCTGCGAGGGGCTGACTGATCCGGCCTGGCCCCTGCACCAGCATGAGGGGCTGCCGTGGAGGCGCCCGTGGAAGTGTCCGCTCTCTAAGGGGAGAGAAGGCAGCAGGAGGGAGGCCCTGACTCCAGGGCAGCATTGGACACTCAGCCTGGCACCATGTTTCCAAAACCGGAGCTGACCCAGGGCGGGCAGCTAGAGGCTCTGGAAGCTCACAGGTGGGGCAGACACTCAGGCCTCGACAGCTGGACCCACCTCAGACGCTACCAGCTCTGGGGTCCTGAGCCAGCCGGACGGGTCTCCTGGCCAAGTCCAGGTCCCCCGACAGGGGCTGTGCACATACACGAGCTCTGTGCATATTCTCTGTCTCGTTCACTCATATTTATTGAGCACCTACGGTGCTGTGGGCTGGGTGCTGTGCTAGGTACTTGGATCCAGGAGTGAACCAAACAGAAACCCCTACCTTCAGGGAAGTTGCATTTGAATGGAGAAGAGACACACAATATACATAACAAGTCAATTCCATGGCTCATTAGAGCCAGAGGAAAGCAAAGGGCATGAAGGAGGGAGCATCAGGACGGGAGGGAGGCGGCAGCTGGGGAGGGTATGCTCACTGAAGGGTATGAAGCAGAGGATGGCGAACAGGCTTCCCAGACCATGGGGACTCTATCAGGCTAATCAATCTTCGACTGTATCGCAAAAACCGCGCTGGTTACTATTAATATGTCAATGTGGGTGTGGCTACGTCCCACTACACCATTTACTAACAGACTACTGCGGGCTGGGCGCCCCTCCTGTGCTCTGTACCTCGTCTAAGTGCTGCTTGGCCTCTGATTCAACAGGAAGATTTGGGGACGGGGACGATGCTGCTTATCCCCAGTGAGCCATCAATCACCGCTGACGAGGGAGAGGACGCCTATTTTCGCTCACAAAATACGCATTTACTGGCTGAATGAATGCAATCGCTACTCGTTGAGCAACTACCACCTGGCACGGGAGTGGTGCTTGGCAAACAGGACTCAACAGAAGGCGGTGAATGCAGTATTTGCTTCTAAAATCACTACTAAAGGCCTGGCCCTGTGCCCACACATAACAGACTCAGTAACAACGAGTGGATCTAAGTCTACCTACAGTTCAAGGCCAGGTCCAGAGCCCCCGAGCCTCAGGTGCACAGGACGCCACGTGCAGACTTTCTGAAAACTTTGAGTAGTCACATCTGTGCCACAAGCCCCAGCAGCACAGCAGCCCCCGCAGGGGCGGCCACGCAAGCCCCAGCAGCACTTACGTAGAACCGCAGCAGCGCCCCGTCCGAATTGCAGCACCAGGACCTCCTGCCCAAGTACTCGTGGGCGGTGTTGAGCAGCATGAGGGAGGACGGGAGCATGGATGTCTCGGCCATCGCTGGGGAAAGACCAGAGCCACAGGCAGTGAGCGCGGGGGCACGGGAGGGAGCTGCAGGCAGTCTCTCCTGGGCGGGCTTTGCTTCCGTTACCAAGGGAGCTACAGAGTTTCCTTTCTTTCCTTTTTCATCTTTTAAAACAAGTAGTGACTTGACTGGCTTTACTAAGCAATGCAAATCCTGCAGAGTGCACAGGAGAAACGCTTCACCCACAGAGCAGACATGTGGGGAGCATCACCAGGAGCATCTACCTGTGCGTACAGGAAGCCTTTTGAAAGGGAGGAGGAGTTCATAAGAGTTACAAATATACCATTTCTGAAATGAAGAATTCTGACACTTAGGTCTACCTGATTCTTACAGAAGGAAAAAACCATCAAGTTCCAGTTAAGTGTCCACCACCGGAGCTACTACTAGGTCCTTCTCAGTATGTTTGAAGCTGTGGCCACGACCCATTAGTGGACTCGTAACTAACATTTTTAAAGAGGATTAGGTTAGAAGAATCCAGAAATGAGGCTCATTTTTTTTGTCCCATAAAGACTAACTTTTTCAGTCTAGAAATTTAAAAGAATCTTTATTTTTTTAAAATATATATATTTTTTTATTGATTTCAGAGAGGAAAGGAGAGGGAGAGAGATAGAAATGTCAATGATGAGAATCATTGATTGGATGCCTCCTGCACGCCCCCTATTGGGGATCGAGCCTGCAACCCCGCATGTGCCCTGACCAGGAATCGAACCGTGACCTCCCGGATCATAGGTCAATGCACAACCACTGAGCCCCGCCGGCCAGGCCGGGCTCTCATTTATGACGACTACTCCAGACTCGGTGCCTCCACGAGTCTGCACTGAGTTGCCGTGGCAAGTGGTGGCTTTTGCTCCCAGAACAGCCCCTGGGACAGGTACCATTGCTCCCCGCAGGGATATAGGGGACAGAGCTGAGAGTTTATACGACGTGCCACCGCAGGAAGTGACAGCTGGGAGTTGGAACCACGCCGCCTCCAGCTGTCCACATGCCCCGGCCTCAATGGCCCACACCCAGGAGGCGTGGTCCAGTGCAAGTGGTTTAAGTGCAAGGGCTGGCACACGGCTGCCCATCTCACAGGGCTCGTGTGGGGATCACAGAGGTCAGCAGGTCTGAGGCCTCAGAGCAGTGACGGCGCCTCCATAAGCACTCGCCCCGCTGTCGGGTCCTCTGCACCGCCCGCCACTGCAGCAGACATGCGGCACTCCACACGCCACGACCCCTGACCCCTCTGCACCGTGAGCTAGCTCCCGAGGGAGCCTCTGCCTCCGTCCAGGTGCCACAGAAATCCTGTCAACGACGCCCCACGCCACTCGCAGCGCCGGGGAGGGCTGCAGGGCCCTGGGCAGAGGCCAGAGGCAGGGCCACACGGGCCAAGGCCACCCCCAGACCCACTTCCCCCACCTTCATCCGCTGAGCTCTGGAGCTGCTGCTGCTGGCACAGGGAGCGGAAGGCGTCCTCTTCCTGCCAGATGATGCGATGCAGGATGATCCAGGGCAGCACCGAGGAGACGTGGGGCTCCTTGGGCTCCTCCTGCACAGCCATGCTGCAGTCAATGATCTAGGGGGGGGGGGGGGGGGGGACAGCGATGTCACAGCAGGGCCCAGCTCCCCGACCCAGGATGCGTCCTCATGGCAGAAGGGGCTGTTTGGCTGAGGAAACACTGGCGCAGCGGCACCCCATCAGGTCGTCAGACAGAGGGTCACGGAGCCTGACGGCAGAGCCACGCCCGGCTCCAGAGGAGCCAGCTCTGACCAGCCTCTCGTGCCACATGCAGCTTCTACTGTGTGCCGGGCCCTGTGCCACACACGAGGGTGACAGAGGTGAGCAGGGCACAGAGGAGCTGACAGCTCAGGGGGAAGAGAGCCAGAGACAAGCCACCCGAGAGCCATGGATCAGCATGGCTGCTGCAATGGAAGCAACTGGGGGCTGTAGTGGTGTCGCAGGGGAGGGGTGGGGACAGACAGAGAGCCCTTGACAGAAGGTTTCCAGGTGAGTGGCTGTGGTGTGCCGATCCCCAGAGAGGGCAGGAGCGGGGGCAGAGGACAGGCAGCAGGCCGAGGGCCCAGAGGTGGCCACGAAAGCCAACGAGAGGGTGGAGAGAGAGGCTGGTGGGCCAGTGCGCTCTGGGACAGGCACCCTGGAGGGAGTGTGAAGGGTGAAGTGAGGGAGAAGCACATTCGTATTTCCGTTTCAGAAAGGGGCCTCCTGGCAGGACGGTGGCTGGACTGGCAGGGGACATGGGACAGCCCCCCCTGCTGCGCGGGCAGGACAGGAGGAGCTGGCGTCACCTGGATCAGGTTGTTGGTGAGCCGGGTGAGGCCGGTGGCCGCGGACGCGTCCCTCAGGATGCTGCCGCTGCTGTCCGCCGAGAGTGCCTGCTCAATGCCCAGCAGCAGCTGGGTCACGGTGGCCACCCACTCCTCCTTGGCTGCGGCCTCGCTGGCATTCACCATCTGCTGGACCGCCTCGTGCAGAGCCACGTCGGAGCACTCGAAGCACTGCCGGTGGTCCTTCCGCCGGAGCAGGGAGTCCTGTGCACAGGAAGGGCGCTGGGGGGGCTGGCACGCTCACCCAGCTGGCCTGAGCACGGAGGGCAGGGAGACGGGGACGAAGACGAGGGGCCGTCCAAGGAAAGGGAAGCACTACAGCCGCGGGGCGTCTGCAAGGGCCTGTGGGCTGGGACCTGTGTGCCACCACGGCATGGCAGGCCACCAGCCAGGAAGCTGTCAGAAAGGTGCTGAACCTCGCTGCCTCAGTTTCCCATTTACAGAGCCAGGGAGCAGCCAAAAGGAGGCTGCCTCCACCACCTCTGCAGCTCTGACTGTGCCCCAGGCGCCCAGGCACGTGCTCATCCAGCGCCAGGCTCTGGAGGGTCTCAGAAAGGAAGGAGCTGCCAGGGAGGGACTGACCGCTCGGGAGGAGGGGCACTGGCCGGGCAGCTCTGAAGCCAGTGCCAGGTGGAGCAGAGCACTGAACCCTCTGAGCCCAGCCACCCCGGCCGCAGAGGTGCCGTGAGCGCTGGTGTGCTGACGTCCACACGCACTCAGCAGGGTCCCGACGGGAAGCAGCTCTCAGTGTGCACGCTGCACTCTGTTGTTTTAAGATCTCCTCTGTGGGAGCCACTGCTTTTTGCCAAGCCTCCTTTCCTTTTGCTCTAGACCGGCGGTTCTCAACCTGTGGGTCGCGACCCCTTTGGGGGTCGAACGACCCTTTCACAGGGGTCGCCTAAATACATCCTGCATATCAGATATTTACATGACGATTCAGAACAGTAGCAACATTACAGTTATGAAGTAGCAACGAAAATAATTTTATGGTTGGGGTCACCACAACATGAGGAACTGTATGAAAGGGTCGCGGCGTGAGGAAGGTTGAGAACCACTGCTCTAGAACAATCCCGTTGACCCTCTCAGCCTCTCTCATTACTGAGCTGGCTGTGGAGTCCCAGATCTGGCTGCAGCCTGTCAGCGCCACCGGAAGCACCTGCTGCCTGGCGCCCCATGGGCTCTGACTCGGCACAGCTGAGGCCCAGCAGTGGCTCCTGCCGCCTCCTGCCAGCCTCGGCACGTGCAGCTGCCACACTCTGAGGTGACACAGACAGGTGTGGGGACAGAGACATCCCAAACTGCCTTTGGTATGTGCTGCGACATCTGAGCACAGATCAAAACCACCCCAGATTGAAAAGCCCTAATTGCCAGGGACACATGGCGTGCGCTTCTTTAGAGAAAACGAGCCCTCCAGCAGGCAGCCACTGGGGCGCGAGGGAGCCAGCTGGTGCGAGGGTGCCCAAGCTGACCCTCCTGACCGAATGCCACACATGCCAGGGCAGGGGCTCTCCTCTGGCAGGAGGAAAACCACTGACCCTGTGACTGCGGCCAGAGTTGCCGTGAAAGTCAAGGCCAAGACAAGGACCTGCCAGCAGCACTCCAGTGTGACCTGATCCCCGGTGCTCAAGGCCAGGGAGAGCTAAAAGGCAGAAGAATAACTGCCAACAAATGCGGAGGCCAAGTTACCGCCGTCAGAAATAACGGGAATTCAGTGAGTGGCTAGATTCCAAACAAACATGCACAAAGCACAGGGCTCCTGTAAGCCAGAAATGTGCTGTTAGAAAACAGAACGACCAACAAAAGGCCCTGCACAAAGCAGCCACCCAAGACATTCAGGACGAAACTCCGCTCAGCAGTCAGAAAACTACACAAGCATCTTGAAGGCTTGAAAAGGCGGGAGGGGAGGGTTCCATGGCAGACGCCCACCCTCTGCGCTAGACGAAGTCACTTAAATGCAAAACATGACCCATCCACACGGCTGGAAGGAACAAAGCCAACGGGCCTTTCTGCGTGTTGGCTGCGCCCCGTCTGCCCCCCTTGGAGAACACCGGTGCCACAGGGGCGGCTCCTCTGCCGTCCAGCCAGGCACACTGTGAACGCGATCCGTGTGTGTGGAGTATGTTTTCACTCTTAGAAAGGCTGTCTAAGCATAATGAACAAAATCACAAGCATTTGACAACATCAAAAGATTTGACAACATAATTCAAAATTTCTGTACGTCAAAAAAACACACAAGCTACAATTAAAAAGCAAACATCAAACTGGGAAAAGTATTTGCAACATTTGATGAGAAAAAGATTAGTGTCTTTAATATGTAAAAAGCACTCCAAATCAATAAGAACGCCCCGCCACCACCACCACCAATAGGAAATTGAGCAAAACCCAGGATTCACTTATTTGCAAAAGGCAGGAGCTTCCCTGTACTTGGCCCAGGCCTTCCAGCCCACAGTGCTGCTCAGCGCCTGCCCAACAGCAGTTCCCCACCAACAGGGCATCTGCCACACCAGGAGCCCTAGACCACGGAGCAAGATGGCACCTGAGCCACTGGGGCCTCTTCCCAGAGGCAGAGAGGACTGGCCTCTCCCTTCCTCCCCACCCAGTGGCCCCCGCTACACCCAGCTGTCCCTCCCACACAGCCATGCTGGACTCTTCCCCCACCTGCCACGGTAACTGAGGTCGGACGAATCTCATCCCTCGACCTCCGCTTGGGCCGCCTGACTCCCTCTGCCCAGCTCTCTCCTCCCCACGCTGACCAGGGGAGAGAGGCCTCCCCTCTGCTCCCACAGTTGCACCTTTTAACTCTTTCCCAGTTCAAGAAAGTGAGTAACTACAACGTCTCATGTGATCTGAGCAAAAATCCTGAGAGAAGACTGGGCTGTCTTTCCAAACTGGAGGGGAAGGACCCAATAAGAGAGTAACTACCACGTGGTCAGTGTGAGAACCATAAGGGACAGGACACGGGACCGCCCTGTGCCATAAGCACATCGCCTCTATCATCTTCCCCGGCAGCCTCCGCGGCCGGCGCGGAGCTTCCTGAGGATGCTGGCAATGATGACAGCTGGCACCCACATGGCACTTGCTACAAGCCAGGCATGGTGCCCACACATGCTAATTCTTAGAATCCCACAACAGCCGTCTGAGGTAAGGACACGATCATCCCCAGCCTAGAGCTGGGAGAGGAGCTGAGGCACAGGGCTGGGTAAAGTCCAGCGCCTCCAGACCCTGGTCCCCGCGAGCTCTCAGTGGGTCTACTTCCTGAGGAGCAGAGGCGGGAAGGAAGCCCAGAGTGCACGTGGGCGCCAACATCACACTGCTGTTCTTTTCCTTCAACAACGTGACCAGATGGCTATCCATTTTCTCTTGATTCTTTACATTATACAGATATTTTACCCACTTTTATATCTACTTCCAATTAATTTTTAAAGCGATTCAAAAGCTAGGCACAGGAACAAGCAGTTGGACGGATGGCTAACGTCCTGACTATGCTTCCTCCTCTGCCGGCAAAGTTCAGAGCCAAGTGCGAGCCCACACCGAGCCACGTACGTGAACCCTAGGACCGGCGCTCCTACGTTCCCAGGACCGGCACTTCCTCCCATGTCTGCTGACTGGCATCCCCCTGGCTGCCGAGTTAGTGGTTTTTACTCCCATTTTTGTCGGTTCTCAAGGGCCACCTCAAAGCCGCCGGGGAATAAGCCCACACCACGCGCAGAAGG